CATTTTCCAAAATGGTTGTATCATTTTGCATTCCCACCAGCAGTGCATAAGAGTTCCCATCTCCCCGCAGCCCCTCCCACATTTGTTATTTCCAGTGTTTTTGATTCGTGCCAGTAATGCCGGGGTGAGATGATATCTCATTGTGGTAGAAAATATATATATTTTTAAAGCCACCCACTTACGGTATTTCTCTTAAAGCCACACTGGTAACTGAGATACCTTCCTTAAACCCTTAACTCCTTTGATCTCTGTAACGACGGACCCTCCTAGTTCTATTCCTTCCTCCATTCACTACTTTAACTCCTTCACCATCCACCTCTTCTGAGTTCCCTTTTTCCTCTAGAACTCCAAGCTTCTGTCATGAGCTCAATCCTCTTCTCTCTTCACTCAGCTGCTTTGGGGTCAGTCACTCTCGCAATGTCCACAAGTTCTTCTGTGTTCACATCCAGGCTTGACAGCAGTCCACGTGGAAAAGCTCTCAGCACATCATAAGTGTGATGTGCCCATTCCCTTGGCCTGCATCACAAGAGGCATGGCGCTTTCTCAAAGAGAAGTAATCCACACTCCCTCGGGACTCATGGCTGGGTTGGACCAGAGTTAAAAAGATGTTGATAAATGAGAGTATGTTCTGAAAGGAGTAGTGAGGTTCGTAAGGGATCTAAAAACAACAATGCTAAAAACAAAGAAACTGCTGAAAAGGCTAAGAATGATGATTTGGGGGAAGACAAAACTCTCGGGATCCATGACAGCTTTCTTTAAATTTGTGAAAACTTGTCACATGGAATAGGCATGGATGTATTTGTTCTGTTGTTTCAATGAGCAGAAGTTAGAAGAAGGTATATTTTGGCTCAATAAGAGAAAAAGAAATTTGCAAATAACCTGAGTTATTCAACATATGAATGAGCTGTCTCTTAATGCAGAAAACTCTGCTGTTACAGGAGGTATTAAAGAAGAAATGACTGTTTTGAGAGGCAGGTTGGTCATATAACCTCTGAGATTCCTTTTCCTCCAGTGTTCTGTGAATTGCTCCTTTGCAGACAGTCTGTCAGCACCATGAACTTAACATGTCTGACAAGGAATCAGCTGTCCTGTCTAATACTTGAGTCTGTCATTGGTGCTGTTGTTCATTCAGACTCCTGGACTAGAAACCTTAGAGCACCTTTGATTCCTTTCTCTCCTTTAGTCCCTGTATCTCTCTCTCCAGCATGTTTCTTTGATTTGCTCTTGATTCTTAATTCCCACTGACACTCTCACAATCCAGACTTGTGAAATCATAAGTGGACTGCAGTCACTGGATTTATGATTTGGAATGAACCCTGAAGAGATGGAGCCCAAATCAAAATCAAATCCATTGCCATCGAGTCGATTCCGACTCATAGCGACCCTAGAGGACAGAGTAGAACTTCCCCATAGGGTTTCCAAAGAGCAGTTGGTGGATTTGAACTGCCGACCTTTTGGGTAATAGCTGATCTCTCAACCACTGCACCACGAGGGCTCCAGTCAAGCCCAACCTGCTCATTTTATAGGGAAACAGAGTAAGACACAGAAAAATTAAAAGACTTGTCTAAGGTCACTCAGTCAACAGTGGTGGCTGTAGGCTCTTTCCACTGCCCCATACCACAGCAGCCCTAGGATTTCTCCTTACAGTCACTCAGTTCAGCTAATACATTTTAACTTAACTGGTCTTATGGAGAGTGGCCATGATTTAACTGTGGGGCAACTGCTTTGTTTTCCAATGGTGTGGTGGTTCTTGGTCAAATCATATGTGTTAATCTAGGAATAATCCTCAGTCTCTTAATTGTAACAGACACCTAGGTCTGCTTTGAGTTAAATAACATTGCTCTTTTCTGTGCTTCTCACAGATACTGCCAAAGTGAGACTGCTGAATTGTGAAATACAGAAGAATTCTAGCCAGCTCAAGCTCTCTAGAGTCTGAAAATCCAGGTCATTTGGATACTAAATGTATCACTGTACTCCAATGAGTACAAAAATTACATATATCATGTTAACTGGCTATGCCCTGATTACTCTCATAAAAGGTCCTGGACTCACGTTGGTTCTTCCGTTGCTATTCTGGTCTCTTCTAGTTCTTGTGCTTGTTTTAGCCAAGGTAATTTAGCTTCCACTGGACTTTTTTCTAAGAAAAAAAGGAACATAAACAATAAGTGTAATTACTATTAATCATTAAGGAGTTGGATACATGATTGTTATTCACTGAAGATTTTAATAAACAGGTCACATTTTTCAAATGCAAATTGAGTCCTTTAGCACAGTACATTAGGTAGCTTCTGGATCGAACCAAAAAATTCTGTCATAGTTTTTAATTAACAAATTATCAAAATGCAACCAAAATAATTCCATGGCACAACTGAATGTGCTCTCCAAGTTAACATTAAAATGCCTTTCATAAATCAATACCAATCTCTGTTCTTTGCCTATTAAAGCTCTTACTTCAATCATATCAGCTTGCTTGCTTTTGCCACAAATTCTTCTTGTCCATTGAAGAAAAAAAATAATAGAGAAAAGCAAATAACGTGGAGGTTTAGGAAACTGGGAGGAGGAGAGAGTCCATACCATGGCTTACTCAAACCCTCATTATTGTTATAGTTGTTGAGAGAGATGATTACCAGTTACAAGTGGCATGTAAGAGCAAGATGGTGCCCCTTTCTTTCCTTTGAAGTCTCCTTAGATATGAAGAAAAAAAAAATCTAGTTATGAAGTGATAAGGGAAATACTTTTGAGCCACTTCAGGGAAACCACAGACACGAAGAAAGTAGCTACGAAAGTGCCATTGAGAGCAGAAGGGAGGGGAAAAGACTTCACTGTGGAGTTGTATAGGAGCCCTGATGGCACAACAGTTAAGTAGTTGGCTGCTAACGAAAGGTTGGCGCATTGAACATACCCAGTAGCTCCGCAGGAGATAGACCTGCAATCTGCTCTTGTAAATGTTACAGCCTAGAAAACCGTACGGGGCAGTTCTACTCTGTCACATGGGGTCACTATGAGTTGAAAATCGACTAGATGGCACCCAACAACAATATACAGTTCTATAATCAGTGTTGGTACCCCCCACCCCGCTTCCCTGTGGTAACCACTGATTTTTCTGGAAGATAGACATAGTCAAACAAATATTTGTTGGAAGGTTAATTATGAGGCTATTTGTATGGATAAGGAACCCAGATATAATGAAAGAGGATTATCCCCATCCTTTCTAAAGTACTAAGGAAGACTCTTTGACTAACAGGTGGAAATAATCTTTTTCCATTTCCAAAAAAAAAAAAAAGTATTTGTCATGAGGATTGTAATACTTTACTAAAGGATATGGAAATAATCATGTATAGAGAGGAGTACATATCCAAGAAATTATGCCAAGACTTCCTACCCATGAATGCTACCCATTTCTTCTAATTCACAAGGGACAATGAGAACTACAGGAGAAGCCTAAATGCATCTGAAGATCTAGCTTGGGGACTGAAAAACTTCATTCGTTCCCTGCTAGGCACTAAGACATATGATGAAGATGACATTGTTCTTCCCTCAAGAAACTGACAGTTCAGTGGAAAGGTACGTACAAAGTACTGTGGGAACAAAGAAGAAAAGAAGAATGGGAACCCTGAGAGAAGGTAATCTCTTCCTGCTCTTCCCTCTCCTCCTTCTCCTGCTTCTCCTTTCTTTAGTCTCTTTCTCCTCCTGCTCATCCTCCTTCTACCTTTTTTTTTTCAGTGCAGGACTGGATCAAATTGTTTTATGTCCACCAAGAATGTTAGTACAAGGCTAGACAGACAGGAACTGCTCACTATATACTGAGACAACAGGAGCTCAAGATTTCTCTCCAGATCAATAAATCTCATATGCCCAATCTCTTTATCAGGTTGACAGGTGTATTGTAAGCTGTCTATAAAACAATTTTTATTAGAAAGTTGTTGTTGATTCATAGTGACCCCATGTAACAGAGTAGAACTACCCCATAGGGTTTTCTAGGCTGTAATCTTTAAGGAAGCAGATCACCATAGGAGATGGTGAGAAAGATCATCTTTCTGCTATGGAGTTGCTGGGTAGGTTGGAATCGCCAACCTTTTGGCTAGCAGGCAAGCACTTATGGGTTGCACCACCAGGTAAGAAAGTCAGTGAGTTGAAATAGAAATGCTGCAATATTGGAATGAGAGCTGGAAAACACCATTTGATTTGAATTTAAAACACCCTATAAACTTACCTTTTGGTTTATAACACGGGATGGGGATGATACATTCTTCTTTGATGTGTAACTTCAATTGTGGATTGCAGCCCCCAACATGCTGTCCACGGTGGTTGATACACAGAACAACCCGGTAACGTAACCCTCGGCCACAAGTCACTGTGCACTTCAAAGGGAAAAAAAAAGGAGTGAATAACAGTCTTTCACAAGAAGGTATCCATAAAGATATTAATTTGACATGGCAAAGGAAAACCACTGATCTACATGAACATTAAATACAGAAGACTTTTGGATAAATATTGCATATGTGAGGGTGGAGGTATGACTTTCTATGATGCTTATACTTCTGGACCGCTCCCTAGTAACCGACTCCTTTCAATATTCCATTTCAAGAGTATTTAAGATGAGGTCACAGCACAAGAAAGATCAAAATGTCTTGAAGTTTTATAGCTCAAATATGAAAGAAACTTGATGCAAGCTTTCCTCAATTTGATTAAAATTTTACATGACATTATCAAAAACAATTTGTAAAGACTAAAGAAACTTTTCTAAACTATCAATAAAAAAATCAAATTTTGATTTGCCGTGCTAGAGGAAAGATTGAATTATCTTTCTACTCTGTCTGATCATACAAAATTGCTGTTATACAAAGAGGCCATCAAAAAGTTCAGCCAAACGGTGTAGGAAAAAAATATTACAAGTGTATCAACTAATTAAAATTGATAATCATGCTACTTTTTCCTGAATTTTTGTAGTTTGTGTTGTCAGTTTTTTAAATTTGTACTTTCCTGCAATTTTTTTCTTATTCTAAATAAACATTCACTTTGATACCCAATACTTGTGTTTTTTATTCTTTTTCTTAAAGAGTCACCCCTAAATGGTATAAACTTCAGGCCCTACAAATCTTGGATCCACCCCTAGGAGGGGCTGAGAGTCCTTGAGCACCTGCTTCAGGTCAGGCACAGCATTGCATATGTGATCTCCCTAATCCTCCCAGCACACTTTCAGGTCAACAGCTTTATACCCATCAAACAGATGAGCAAACAAACAGCTCACTTCCTAAAGACCTTGCTCCAGCTCACACAATTCCTAAGAGGTAGAGTGGCATTCTATCCAAGAGCCTCCTGTTGCCCAAGTTGTGACCTTGCCACTACTCCACAGAGCCCGAAGATTCTTTCCCAAGTCTGTAAATGCTTTCTAGGCTGTTCTAGACAGAGAGCTTTTTCAGTATACACACATCTTCAGGAAGGGAAGAATGCTGGGATATCTTTATCTTATTTCATCACACTACTCTTGTGACCACTGAACAAATACTGTAATAAATTTAGTGAAGTTGAGATTAGACCCTGTTTCTAGGTAATTGACTCACCTACCCCCAAATTTATTAATTTGAAAGCTTAGATTCTGAGAAGCCAATATTTTATATTGGCCAAGTGTTATGGGTTGAATTGTGTCCTCCCAAAAGCTATGTTCAACTCCCAACTCCCAGTACCTGTGACTGTGAACCTTGTTTGGAAAAAAGGTCTTTGAAGATGTTATTAGTTTAGTTAATAAGAGATCATACAGGAGTAGGGTGGCTCCTAATCCCATCTGAATGGTGTTCTTATAAAAGAGGAGAAGAGACACAGAGAGACAGGGAAAAGACGACCATGTGAAGATGCATCTACAGCCAAGGAACATTTGGGGCTACCAGAAGCTGAGAGAGACAAGAATTTTCTCCTAGTACCTTCAGAGGGAACATAGCTCTGATGACCCTCTAAATTCAGACCTCTAACCTCCTGAACTGTGAAACAATAAATTTCTATCATTTAAAGCCACTCACTTTGTGGTACTTTGTTACAGCAGCCCCAGGAAATTAACACAGAGTTTTCTAAAGGGAAATGGGACTCTGCCGTAATAGATACCTAAAAATATAGAAGTATCTTTGGAATTGGGTAATGAGTAGGGGCTGGGAGAATTTTGAGGTGTATGATAGTAAAAGCCTAGCTTGCCTTGAAGAGACTGCTGGTAGAATTATGAACATTAAAGGGGATTCTGGTGAAGGCTCAGAAAAAAGTAAGGAGAGCTACAGAGAAAGCATCTATTGTTAGAAACAGAATGTTGCTAGAAATGTGGATGTTAAATGTGCTTCTGGTGAGGCTTTAAAAGGAAATGATGAATACTGAAGAAAAGGCAATCCTTGTTATAAAGTGGCAAAGAGCTTGGCTGAATTATGTTCAACTGTTTTGTGGAAAACAGAACTTGAAGATTTGGAAAATTCTTAGCCTATCCATATTATAAAAATTGAGGAAGTCTGCTCCAATGCCTGCTTCTTTGGAGAGGACACCAAAGGTGTGGCTGGACAACCATTTGTCAAAGATATCAGGTGTGTGACTTATGGATCCTATCAACCATCTCAGTAGAAACACTGCATGAAATAAAGTAAGGCTGTCGGAATTGACTCGACAGCAACTGGTTTGGTTTGGTTTATTTTGTCATACTACAGGTAGAAAAAGGGCCTATGGAGCTGTTTAGCTGTGAACATCTGTTGTCCTTTAAGAAAAGGGAGCAAGGCCACCTTCTCAGTTTCATTTCCAGAGGGCAGGGCCACCTCCTAGGTTCTAGGGGGTAGGACCGCCACCCTGGTGGGCCAGGAGAATAGAGTCACTGCTCCAGTGGGCAGGGTGGTGTGGCTGCCCTCCAGGGTTACCCTCGTGCTCGGTGGGACAGGAGGACAGGGCCACAGCCCAGGGTCTGAAGGGGGGCGCCACCCGGGACTAAGGAGGCAAGGTTGCTGACCAGATGGGCCCAGAGGACGGAGAATTATTTTCAAGCCTCAAAATCTAACAGAATATACCCTGCTGGGTTACAGACTTGCTGTAGCCTCTTGATCCCTACCTTCCCTCCAATTTCTCTTCTTTGGAATGGGAATGTCTACTCTACGCCTGTACCACCATTGTATTTTGGAAGCAAATAAGTTGTATTCTAGGTTTCACAGGTCCACAGACAGAGAAGAATTCTTCCCCAGGATAGGCCATAATCAGAGTCTCACTCGTACCTGAATTTAGATGATTTAGAAGATGAGATTATGGACTTAGAGTTAATGCTGGAATAGTTGAGACTTTTGGGTATGCTGGGATGGAGTGAATGTTTTTCTCATGTAGGGAAGTCATGAAATTTTAGGACCCAGAGGGCAGACTGTTATGAATTGAATTGTGTCCCCCAAAAGGATATGTTCAAATCCTAACCCCTGATACCAGTGACTGTGACCTTGTTTGGAAATAGGGTCTTTGAAGATGTTACCAACTAAGTTAACATGATGCCATTTGGAGAGGGTGTGTCCTAATTCCATCTGAGTGGTGTCCTTATTTAAAAAAAGAGACACGCCCAGAGGAAACCTGGCCATGTGAAGATGCACCTACATTCCAAGGAATATCTCAAGGTGCCAGAAGCTAGAGAGACAAGAATCTTCCTCTTAGAAACTTCAGAGAGAATATGGCCCTGCTGACAGCATGAATTCAGATTACTAGCCTCCTTAACTGTGAGACAGTAAATTTCAGTTGTTTAAAGTCACCCACTTTGCAGTAATTTGTGACGGCAGCCCTAGGAAATTAATGCATCAAAGAAGAAAAAAATCTGCCCAAAGAGAAATAAAAAGATATAACTTTGCGGAAAGACTAGAACTGATCAATCCAAAGGATACTGTCTTCCATGTAGCTGATCTAAGAGCTGGACACTTACCTCGATGATTCTGTCAGTGTTTACAACATTTCCAGAACTCCTCTTTGGAGCCAAATAGATCCTCAATGATAGCAAATCCACATCACTGAGAATATATTTGATTTCTGGAAAAAGTGAAAAGTATTAAGTGTCAAGTATGGTGTATGAGATGAAAGAGATGAGATGGTTAAAAATCCTTTGCCTTAAGTGCTGATTAAAACAACAACAACAAAGCCAGTTGCTGTCGAGTCTATTCTGACTCTTGGTGGCCCCATGTGTGTCAGAGTAGAACTGTGCTCCATAAGGTTTTCAATGGCAGATTTTCCATGGTATTGATGTGAGTGCAAGGTGAGAGGAGTGTATAAAAGCCAAAAGCCAACAAAAAAAACTTATAGATAGTAGTTATAAGAGCTGAGAATAGGCTCTGCAGGTTGTAGTTGCAATACTGTTTGGGGGATGAGAAACTGAAAGTCCCCAATGACTAGGTAACAAATCCTTTTGCAACTCAGGTGGTATTCTTTGCTTTCAATGACAACTTTGCAACAGGAGCTAATCAAATGGTCAGCTGAGGGATCATTAAAAATAATTTTTGATAATAAACCACCACGTAATTTTGATGTATAAATCAAAGAGTTCGAAGAACTGAATTACACTCTTAAAATAAAATCCTTCCATTCCAGTCTATTTATTTATGTGAAAAAGTTTTCCCAGTATGTATGTATGAAAAAAACAAAAACAAGCAATAAACAATGAGAACTGAAAACGAAATTATTGCTGAACCTATGTCTCATTCTGGCAATGAACACAAGGGTTATTTATTTTTTTTTAAATATTTTAGGACTCAAAAAAATTTTCAAAAATACTACAGAGAGTTCCTGTGTATTCCTTACCCAGCTTTCCCCAATGATAGTCTTTACATAGTCAGAGAACATGGTCAAAAACAGGAAATTGATATTGGTACAATATATGAACTCAAGTACAGACTGTATTAGAATTCTATGTTTTTTAAAATTGATTTTATAAGTTTATTTTGTGCCTGGCAACTTTGCTGAACTCTATTTTAGTTCTTGTATATTTTCTGTGCATCATATTGGGTTTTCTATGTAGGTGATCCTATTGTAGGGACTATTTTTTTAAGCCCCATTTATCCTCTAAAAAGTTACTGCAAATGAAAATTTACTTTTTATGTGTAATAATTATTTACTAAAAATTTGATCAATTGTGTACTAAAATTAAATCTAATAATAACTCAGTCCAGAAGAAATTTTTAATACTTAGAGCCTTATAGCCAGTTGTTGTTAGGTGCCGTTGAGTGGGTTCCAACTCATAGCGACCCTGTGGACAACAGAACAAAACACTGCACAGTCCTGTGCCATCCTCACAATTGTTTCTACTCTTGAGCCCATTGTTGCAGCTGCTGTGTAAATCCATCTTGTTGAGGTTCTTCCTCTCTTTTGCTGACCCTCTACTTTGCCAAGCATTATGTCTTTCTCCAGTGACCGATCACTCCTGATAACATGTCCAAAATACATGAGAAATCTCACCATCCTCGCTTCTAAGGAGCATTCTGGCTGTACTTCTTCCAAGACAAATTTGTTCGTTCTTCAGACAGTCCACGGAATATTCAATATTCTTTGCCAACACCATAATTCAAAGGCATCAATTCTTCTTTTGTCTTCCTTTGGTTTTCCCGTGCATATGAGGCGATTGAAAATACCAAGGCTTGGGTCAGGCACACCTTAGTCCTCAAAGTGACATCTTTGCTCATCAACATTTTAAAGAGGTCTTTTGCAACAGATTTGCCCAATGCAATGTGTCATTTGATTTCTTGACTGCTGCTTCCATAGGCGTTGATCGTGGATCCAAGTAAATGAAATCCTTGACAACTTCAATCTTTTCTCTGTTTATCATGATGATGCATATTGGTCCAGTTGTGAGAATTTTTATTTTCTTTATGTTGGGGTGTAATCCATACTACAGGCTGTAGTCTTTGATCTTCATCAGTAAGTGCTTCAAGTCCTCTTCACTTTCAGCAAGCAAGGTTGTGTCATCTGCATATCGCAGGCTGATAACGAGCCTTCCTTCAATCCCGATGTCTTGTTCTTCTTCATACAGTCCAGCTTCTCAGACTATTTGCTCAGCATACATACTGAATAAGTATGGTAAAAGGATATAATTCTGACACACACCTTCCCTGATTTTAAATCACACAGTATCCCCTTATTGTGTTTGAACAATTGCCTCTTGGTCTATGTGCAGGTTCCTCATGAGCACAATTAAGTGATCTGGAATTTTCTTTCTTCACAGTGTTATCCATAATTTGTTATGATCCACATAGTTGAATGCCTTTGCACAGTCAATGAAACACAGGTAAACATCATTCTGGTATTCTCTGCCTTCAGTGAAGACCCATCTGACATCAGCGATGATATCCCTCCTTCCACATCCTCTTCTGAATTTGGCTTGGACTTCTGGCAGTTCCTTGTTGATGTACTGCTACAATTGTGACAAGTGAGCACCTCCAGCTCTGCATCAGTTTGTTGAAACAGCTCAACTGGTATTCCGCCAACTCCTGGAGCCTTGTTTTTTGCCAACGCTTTCAGTGCAACTTGGTCTTCTTCCTTAAGTATTATCAGTTCTTGATCTTATGCTACCTCCTCCACTACTCATCTGTCAGTTTGTCACACTGTGGTGGCTTGGGTGTTGCTGTGATGCTGGAAGCTATGCCACTGGTATTTCAAATACCAGCAGGGTCACACATGGTAGACAGGTTTCAGTGGAGCTTCCAGACTAAGACAGACTAGGAAGAACGACCTGGTGGTCTACTTCTGAAAAACTTGGCTGGTGAAAATCTTATGAATAGCAGCAGAACACTGTCTGATATAATGCTGGAAGATGAGCCCCTCAGGATGGAAGGCACTCAAAATACGACTGGGGAAGGGCTGCCTCCTCCAAGAAGAGTTGATCTTAATGACATTGATGGATTAAAGCTTCATTTGCTGATGTGGCATGACTCAAACTGACAAGAAACAGCTGCAAATATCTATTGACAGTTGGAACATGGGATGTACAAAGTATGAATCTTGAAAAATTTAAAGTCACCAAAAATGAAATGGAACACAGAAAGATCGATATCCTAGGCATTAGTGAGCTGAAATGGACTGGTATTGGCCATTTTGAATCAGACAATCATATGGTCTTCTACACCAGGAATGACAAATTGAAGAGGAATGGCATCACATTCATGGTCAAAAAGAACATTTAAGATCTATCCTGAAGTACAATGCTGTTAGTGATAGGATAATATCCATACGCTTACAAGGAAGACCAGTTAGTACGGCTATTATTTAAATTTATGCACCAACTACGAATGTTAAAGATGAAGAAATTGAAGATTTTTACTAACTTCTGCAGTCTGAAATTGATCAAACATGCAATCAAGACGCATTGATAATTACTGGTGATTGGAATGCAAAAGTTGGAAATAAAGAAGAAGGATCAATTGTTGGAAAATATGGCCTTGGCGGTAGAAACAACACTGGAGATCACGTGATAGAAGTTTGCAGTACCAACAACTTATTCATTGCAAATATCTTTTTTCACCAACATAAACAGTGACTATACACGTGGACCTCGCCGGATGGAATACACAGGAATCAGATCGACAACATCTGTGGAAAGAGACGATGGAGAAGCTCAATATCATCAGTCAGAACAAGGACAAGGACAAGTTCATGCTGAAGTGAAGAAAATTACAAGTCCAAGAGAGCCAAAATACGAGCTTGAGTACATTTCACTTGAATTTAGAGATCATCTCAAAAACAGATTTGATGCACTGAACACCGAAGACCAGCCAAGTTGTGGGATGACATCAAGGACATCATACATGAAGAAAGCAAAAGGTCATTAAAAAGACAGGAAAGAAAGAAAATACCAAAATGGATGTCAGAATAGACTCTGAAACTTGCTCTTGAACATAGAGTAGCTGAAGTGAATGGAAGAAATGATGAAGTAAAAGAGCTAACCAGAAGATTTCAAAGGTCGACTCAAGAAGACAAAGTAAAGTATTATAATGAAATGTGCAAGGGCCTGGAGTTAGAAAACCAAAAAGGAAGAATATGCTCAGCATTTCTCAAGCTGAAAGAACTGAAGAAAAAATTCAAGCCTCAAATTGCAATATTGAAAGATTCTAAGTGCAAAATATTGAACAACACAGGAAGCATCAAAAGATGACGGAATACACAGGGTCATTATACCAAAAAGAACTGGTGGACCTTCAACCATTTCAGGAGGTAGCATATGATCAAAAACTGATGGTTATAGCCAGAGGAAATTAAAATAAATTAATATCAACTGCTAGGCATAGTTTCTCACAGAGAATAAAATATTGAAATCAAGAAGACTTTAAAGCATAAAAATATATTACGATAAAATTCTGTGTGGTGAATAGACTGAAAATATGAGTTCAAGGAGAAAAAAAAGTTAAAAAAAAAAAATCCAACTAGTTAAAGAAGAGCTTGTTTGTATGCTGTTTAAGTGAAAGATGGCAAGGATAGAACCATGGCATTTAGATTCCACTGGACACATTTAAACGTATGATGCAACACTTTTATTTTAAAATGTTAGCATTCACAACATGTTGGAAATGATATCCTTTGCGAGTATTTAAACTTGTAATGAAAAATTTTAGACGTCAACCTAAATATATACGAAGGAATATATAGTTTTTAAAGTTGTTTTTAGGGAATATGCAAGCAAAAAAATTTTTTGATAGCTACTGTCCTAACAAGGTCAAATCAAATTATAGATGGTAATGACATTGTGTCTAGGAATATCAGAAAAGATTTTGCAGAGGAGGTAGTGTCTGAACTGGGGCTTGAAGTGGGTCTCCTCAGCCCGCTGTCAGAAAAATCACTTATGATCATCCTTCAAACTTCAGTTGGAGTGCCACCTCCTTTCTGGAGCTTTCCCTGACACCCCCAGGTGGAGTTAATCATCCCACCTCTGTGTTCCTGTAGAACTGAACACCTGGTACTGCTCATGCGTGATATGACACTGCTGCGCCTGTTTGTCTGCATACCTGTCTCTGCAAGTAGATTCTCAACTTTTGGGGTTAAGAACAAGTTTTATTCACTCATGTAGCCAGCAGTTGACATGCAGAATAAACAAATAGATGAATAAAGGAATGTATGCATGCGTATGTTGGACTAAATATGGAGAGATCACTCAAAGGGGCTATAGAAACTCAAGTTTCAATTATGTTTCACTCCATAGAAAATAAAAATATTAGGTAGTAATGCCTGAATTTTCATATTTGAACCAATTCAATTGTACTTTATTTGTTTTGGAGGTCTACTAGGTCATCTCTCTAGCAAGCAGAAACTCCCTAGCGAGAGGAAGCTAATATGACATGAGGCCTTGTCGTTATTCTGGGACGGTTCCTTTCTTCTCTTTGCTCTTTTCCCATCACCTGACCCTCAGTGACTGATACTGAAGCTTCCAACTAAGCTGCCTGCCTCTGGCCTGTTCCAACACTAGTCGATCTTGACTCACTTATTTAAAAATTAACATATTAATTTTCTTTCAACAAAAGTCATAAAGCTTCTTATTAAGTCCTGGATCAAGGACATTTCTGATCTCAAGGTCAGCATTTCCATCTTACCTTTCAATTCTTAGTAACATGGATTCTCTCTTAAACTAGATGAATTACGGACTTTTTCAACTTTCAGTCATTCCATGTCATTCCTGCCTTGCTAGGTCATTCCCTGCTCAGCCATCCCCCACAGTGATGTTCTCTATAGCCTGTTACTTGTTTAAAGTCTACATATCCTTCAAAGATCCATTATACACTACAACAGAGACTTCTGGACAACTCTGTTCCAACAATGGGTCCTTGCAGACATACCATAGTCCTTAGTGTTAATTATCCTTACCTACATTGATGCTTGCGGTCTCTTTTACACTGTCCTCCAACTATCTTCCTAAGCTGTTGGAGAGTAGAGACCATGTTCATATATGACTTTGCATCCTCCATGCTGTCCAGTACAGTGTTCGGCACATAGCAAAGAGTCAATAAAATCTGCGATTTCATTGAAAGAGGCATGTCCTCACATTTTACCTGAGACCACTCCATAGCAATCCACTTGGGGCAATCGAACAGATTGCAAGTTTGCATAACCTTGGGTTTGGGTGCATACATGCACTTCCATTCTTCCACCTGCAGTATCTCTCCATGCATGGACTCCTCAACACACACAAAGCTCCGTCTCTGAATTCCTCCTCCACAGGACACCGAACACGCAGTCCAAGGATTATGTTCCCAGCTCAAAAGCAAACAAATAAAAACACATTATTCATTTGTTTGTTTGTCTGTTTCAGGTATACAAAGATGTCTGTAAAAGGTATATCCTCAAGACATCATTGTGGCTCAGCTGAAAGAGCTCCGGACTTGGAGTCATAGACCTTAGTCTTAACTGTCACACACAACCTAGTCACAAGACTAATTTAACTCCTCTGAACCTGAGGTTTCTGTCCAGTAGAAGTGGTAAACCTGCCCTAGCTACCCTTCATAGGGTCACTGTGAAAATTAAATCAATTAAAATACAGAGTGTGAAAGCATCTTTAAATTGTCTCCAAACTACAGAGTTCTAATGGACAATATCACTGGAGCATCAGAGAAACTCAAAGTCAGAAAGAATCACACTAGTCACCCAGGTGTAGAGGGGGATTCAAATCTTTGAGCAATTGCAATGATTGAGCTTCCTCTATAATGCTCAGTCATCCCAGATATGCTTGACACCTCCAGTGATGGGAAGCACCTTTATGAGGCAGCCTATTCCACCTGAGTCTTAGAAAAATCTTTCTTGTCATTAAGTTAAAGCCTGTTTTCCTTTAGCTCTGTAAAGGGGCTAATATATACTCCTTGTACATTTCAGACTATTCCTACAGATGCTACAGTTCCTTGCAAACTTCTTGTACTTGTTGTTGCTGTCAATTCCCACTCATAGTGACCCCATGTGTTACAGAGTGGAACTGCTCCACAGGTTTTTCAAGGCTGTAACCTTTCTGAAGCAGATTGCCAGGTCTGTCTTCCGAGGCACCTCTGGGTGGGTTTGAACCACCAATCTTTCAGCTAGTAGTTAACTGTTTGCACCACCCAGGACTCCCCTTGCAAACTACTTAGAGTAAATCACAGAAAAAAAAAAAAAAAAAAAAGGAAAGAAAGAAAGAAGGAAAAGAAACATGCAACTCACCGAGGGAGAGGTTGGAAGTGGTCATAGGGCATAATCTCTTTAAATCCATCACTACAAATGAAATTATTGTGAGAGTATTTGATTTCAAAATCAACTAACACATTTATTCCTTGATTAACATAGATTTGACATCCCAAGACAGAACTCTTTCAAATTGAAAACTCAATATCCCAAGTATTAGAACTATTCCTAAAAAATCAACCACCACCTCAGTTCTTTGTGAAAATGTAGAAAATTGAATTAGCAGTCTTTATTAATCAGAGAAAAATAAGTTTCTTAATTTATATAGGTCTATTTATTGCTATTTATCATCTAAAAAGTTATTCTGATGAAATATATAAATTTTATATTAACACACTGTCATATTAGTAGGTCTTCAGAAAACCACTTTATTTCAGAGAATTTGTCCTTTGAAAAAGTCCCTATTAAACAATTCCGTTCAACCAGGATTACAGGAAATGGGCAGTTTAGTGATAGGAAATGAAATCCACTGAGAACGCTTCCTTTTCCACTTGCACATCTCTGTCTTAGCCAGCTGGCAGATATCTGGGGGATTCTGGGACTTGATATCGCACTGTTATTTTAAGATACTGCAGTAAAGCCAGGAAACTTCCCCAGGCAATCCAAGTCAGCAGGTACTAAATTATGCAACAGGATAGTTTATGCATAGCTTTTCTGCTTTGGAACAAAAACTCTCTACTTCCTTGCACAATCCATTATTTATACTGAATTTAATACGAATACTTCAAAAGTTAAAGCGTGGTAACGGGTGACCCAGTTTAAAAGCTAAAATGGTGGGTTAAGGATATTTATGACTGTCAGATGGACTAAACATTGTAGTTGGATGAAGAGATACAGCAGGAGATGCTCAAAATGGTTCGTTATAAAGAGCTTAAATATCCACAGCACATGGACACATAGCCCAGTACAAGAGAAAGCCAGCCTGATGAGCAAATGTGTCCTGGTTCCTATTATTGATCCAGTTATAAACGTGAACACAGACACCTGCCACCAGTGTATGTGCAAAGTCAGGAAATGGAACGTATGTCACCCTGCAAAGGTGGATCAGTCTGAGCTGCAGCTGATTTGTTTCTTTCTAGAATAAAGTGGGCATGGGCCATTATTCAAACCTGGATGGGCAAGGATCCATGCTGCATTCCTTCAGTTTGGGTTTGGGTTTTACATTTTCAGGGTAATAATGGCAATAATGGTCAGGAACCACCCTCTTCAAGCGGATATCCACACACTCCGCAGAATTGAGCTGATAACCTAAAGGGGGAGAAAGAGAAGTCTGAATACTGCATTGGTTTTATTTTTACTTGGCAAATTTATCACTTGACACACACCTTCTTTTTTTTTCCTCTTTAAGAGACTTAACCTAGTAGTTCTCAATTTTGGTTGTATAATAGAACCACATGGCAGCTTTTAATATATAGTAAAGCCAAGGCCCCTTCACGGTCCAATTAAGTCAGAAGCTCTGTGGCTGGGGTCCAGGAAACCAGTATTTTTAAAAAGATTCCAGGTGATTGATTCTAAGGTGATTGAAATGTATGGCCAAGATGGAAAACCACTACTTGCACTGACCATGGTAGAGGTAGCCTTAGCATTTATAACTAAAAAGTTACAATAAAACCAGATGTTGTTGAGTTGACCCCAATTCATGGCAACCCCATGTGTTTCCAAATAGGACTGAGCTCCACAGAGATTTTTATTGATTTTTCAGAAGTAAATCACCAGGCCTTTCTTCTGAGGTGCATCTGAGTGGACTTGAATCTCCAACCTTTTGGTTAGCAGCCACGTGTGTTACACAATAGACTCCTTTTAAAAATGTTTGGACCTCAGCAGTAGAAGTTAGTTATTCTCCTCAGTTCTTAATACATTCTCATCATGACATTGCCCCTCCTTGTTTTCTCTATATTTCCTCCTCTTTCCCATCACCACTCCCATCCCACCTCCCAGAGACACCCATTTCAATCTACTTTTTGTATGTTCTTAAATATTCACGTCTTATGTAATATCGTTTTTGTGTGAATATACTTTTAACTTAATAAATGACATTGGGTTTTAAATTTTGTTCTGTTTTCTACTTTTCTCACTCAAAATTATGTTTTTGAGATCTACCTGTGTCGTTGCTTCTTTCTAATGCGTAATATTCCATTGTTTGCATACATCACATTTTCTCATTCATTGCCTTGGGGTACCTAGGGTACCTCCAAAGCCAATAAACTTTCTAACTGGGGAAATAAGCATTGTCTATATAGGCGGGAAGGAGAACTCGTGGTGCAGTGGTTAAGTGCCTCAGCTGCTCACTGAAAGGTTGAGGTTTGAACCCACCAGCCACTCCGCGGGAGAAGTACGTGGCAGTCTGCTTCCGTAGTATTACAGCCTTGGAAACCCTATGGGGCAGTTCTTCACTGTCCTATTGGGTCGCTATGAGTTGGAATCGACTCGATGGCAATGGGTTTATATAGAGAACAAAATCTGCTTCCCTAGTCCCTCTCGCCTAACCCATAGGCCATCAAAGGGGAAGGGGTGAAGACTTATTCCTGATTCTATTAAATTCCATTTGTACAGTCTCTGAGGAAAATGCACATTCCAAATAGATGAGTGTTATAAATTGAAAAAACAACTCACAAAGTGATGCTTCTACTTCCTGAAAGGTCTGATTCCAGATTTCCTGTCACTGCATAAGTATCATGTTAAATTAAACATAAAAAATGTAATGTTTCAAAACCAGAATGAGCTCTTTTAAAAAAAGCCCAAAGCTAAGTTCTCAGCCTCAGGCAATTGGTCTAAAGTTCTGAAAATTATTTAAAGGCCTGATTGCCAAGAGAAATCTAATTTTCTAAACTACTAGACAGCTTTGTACATGGCTGGGATGTAAGCTGAGTGTCAAAAGACACACTGGTATGTATTATAAAAAGCAAGTTCGAAACCATGAGAATGAAAATCCAAATGGAGTCAATAAAATGTAACTCCAGCGCCAGTATCTGCCAGAAAGTCTACAATATCAGATGGCAATGGCAATTTCCGTGCTTTCTCCAGACTGGCCTCCAGTGTCCCATGTAGATGATTACAGACGAGACCAGTGAAGTCCACCCAAATACCTGTGGTACCTGAGAGACCAGCAAACTAATTTTCCTGACTATCCAAAAGACTCCAATATGCCATTTACACAAATCATGTAGATTTGATTACTAATATAATTAAATTTTGGTAATGCATTCCTTGCGGGTTTTATGTGTGTGCTTTTCTTTCCCCCCAAACAAGAGCAGAATGAGATTACAGCTTCTTGAGTCAGAGAAAATGTCTGTTCTAAGTGGAAACATACTTCGAAAAGAAGGAGACAGGGAGTATACAGGTGTTTATAATTTGGGGACGGACAACCATTTTTCCTCTTGATTTTATGGCACTTTAGAGATAAATAAAAATGAAAGAAATAAGGCAGATTCTCTCTCCATAAAGGAGCCCTGGTGGCACGGTGATTAACTGCTCAGCTGCTAACCAAAAGGTCAGCAGTTTGAACCCACCAGCCACTCCGAGGGAGAAAGACATGGCAGTCTGCTTCCGTAAAGATTTATAGTCTTGGAAACCCTACAGGGAAGTTCTACTCTGTCCTATAGGGTCCCCATGAGTGAAGAGTGGGTTTTGGTGCCTCTCTACCCATTAAAAAAAAAAAAAAATTCTGAAATTCTGCCAGTGTGCAGAAAGTGGCAGGCCATGGGGGGGGGGGGTGCCCCCAGAGCAGCAGCAGGTCTCCCTCTGTTCTTACAAGCATGGCTGCCTTTGGCAGACGGTCACACTGCCAGGTGCTCTCAGGCACATTTGTGGTTCCCGGACTGACTGTGTTTTAACTCAGGTATTCAGGAAGAAACTCCTCCCAGGAACTGAATCAACTGAACTAAGTGAATCTCACAATAAAATATCCCTCCCAAAGTCGAAAGTTTCATTTTTATCTTGTGTGTCCAAATGGGAACCTCTGTCTGAAGAACTGTGTATGAGTGCTAGGGAATAAAGCAAAAAGAAAGAGAAGTTTGTTTTTTACTTTCCGTTTGTAAGAATAAAAAAGCTCCGCTGTCACTTTGCTTCGGTTGGAGGTCCGTGAGTAGACTCTTGTCCTGCCTGGAGCCACGGCACTCCTGACTCCATGGTGGTGGGATTCTGCTTCTGGATATGAAATATGCCTGCGTGTATCTATAGTCGGTCCCACTCTGTGAGTTTTCCACTGTGACCTATGAGTCATGTATGCAACTCCTAACTTGTCACCAGCGTAACTGAGACTGTCAGGAGGGGGCAGAGCCAAGGATCTGTGGACTCTGAAGATCTCAGAGATTCTCGGAGAATTTTTGAACAAAGTTTGGGTTTAGATTCACTATTTCCCAAGTGTCCAAGACTTGCCAGACACTGAACTATGCTCCTTGACATATATCATTTTCCTCCCCGACAACCTTATATGGGGAATATTTTAAGTCCAATTTACAGATGGAACGACTTAGGCTCAATGATGTCTCAGAGCGAATTAGTGGCAAGGCCAAGAAGAAAATCCACATCCTTGATCTCCAACTCTACTGCTTCATCCCCTAGGCCATGCTGCCTCTTGATATAAATTTTGGCATGCACATTTTGAAGACTATGATAGGCCAAAAAATTTCTGAGGCCCAGGTTTAGAGAGACTTGCTGGGCTTACCCAGCTCACAGTCTCAGTTCCAAGCAGTGTTTTACTTCAGTCAGCTTTAAGCAAGGTCAAATGTTTTTAACAATTTCCCTTAGAGTGCAGAACTCAAATTCTAGTAAAAAGACCAGACTTAATGGTCTGACTGAGACTGGAGGAACCCCGGAAAGCATGGCCCCTGGACTCTCTGTCAACCCAGCACTAAAACCATTCCCAATGCCAACTCTTCAAAGATTAGACTGGAATATGGGACATAAAATGATACTCATGAAGAGTGTGCTTCTTAGCTCACGTAGATACGTGAGACTAAACGGGCAGCTCCTGCCTGGAGGAGGAGAAGGCAGAGAGAGTCAGGAGCTGGTTGAACGGATGCTGGAAATCAGGGGTGGAAAGGAGGAAGGTGCTGTGACAGTATAGGGAGAGCAATTAAGGTCACATAACAATGTATGTATAAATTTTTGTGTAAGAGACTAACTTGAAATGTAAACTTTCACTTAAAGTACAATAAAATTAAATTAAAAAAAAAAAAAGAATTTCCCTTAGAGCCTGCTGGAGAGTCAGACACTTAAAGGTCTGAAAGAGCTTATGCCTCAGAAAATGTTTATAATATTCAACAAAATACAGTTTCAACTTCAGGAGGAATTGGAATGGGTAATTTCTGATAGAACAGACAGAATGTTAGAGCTGGCAGAGACTTGAAGATTATCTACTCCACTGGTTTGTTTTCGTTGTATTTATTTTTATGTCTGTGTTCTATTTATCGCAAGAGGTAACAGTTTTCCATTTAAGGTAGTAATATAAAATTATTTTATAAATATATTTATTTAAGTTTAAAAAATCTCTTAAAGAAAATATCTTAAGTAAATAATAGTACAGGGGTAACAGAGATGGCAGAAATAATGAAGATAATATGGCTACAGAATCCCTGGGTGGTGCAAATGGTTAATGCACTGGGTTTCTAACCAAAAGGTTGGAGGTTCAAATCCACCCTGAGGCACCTCAGAAGAAAGATCTGGAGATCTACTTCCAAAAAAATCAGCCATTGAAAACCCTATGGAGCATAGCTCTACTCTGACACACTCGGGGTCATCATGAATCAGAGTTGACTCAGTGGCAACTGGTTTGGGAATATGACTACAGCTGATATACAAACACCAGGGCTTTGAACTGCGTATGTTTCAGCTCAAACCCCTGCTAAGAATTTGCATCTCTAACAAGTTCCCAGGCAATGCTAATGCTGCTGGTTAGGGACCAGTTTTGAGAACCACTAGTACAGCAGTGGTTCTCAAAATTTATTATACATAAGAATGACCTGGGGATCTTGTCAAAATGTAGATTTTGATTCAGTGTATCTGGGGTGGAGCCCTGGTAGCACAGTGGTTAAGAGCCAGACTACTAACCAAAAGATCGGCAGTTCAAATCCACCAGCCACTCCTTAGAAACTCTATGGGGCAGTCCTACTCTGTCCTATAGGGTCACTATGAGTCAGAATTGACTCGACGGTAACGGTTTTTTTTTTTGGTTTTTTTTTAATATCTGGGGTGGAAATGCAAATTCTCAGCCGGGGTTCAAACCAGAACGAACCGGTTCAAAGCCCTGCCAAAGGCATTGCTCTAGAGAACAATGGTTCTCAAACTGGAGGATTCATCAGAATCACCAAGAGAGCTTGTTGTAACACAGATTGCTGTGTTTCTGATTTTCTGACTTGCTGATTCAGTAGGTCTGGGGTGGGGCCTGGCAATTTGCATTTCTAACTTGTACCAGGGTATGCTGATGCTGCTGGTCAAGAAACCACATTTTGAGAACCACTGTTGTAGGACCATAATCAAGTGGTCTATGGCCCAAGCCTGGCCCTAAGAAGAACTAACTAGGAAATTGGAAACATTCATTGTGTATTTTCCTTTTAAGGTTCCATTCAGCCCCTAAACTCTGTCTCTCTTCCCTTCCCAGGTACATAGGTCCCACTGGGCTCTGAGCTGTCCAGTGTGCCCACAACAGTGCTTGCAGTCCAGGTTTGGAGGAAGCCTAAGTCTCAGAAGAGAGAGGTCTGATCCATATATTCACAGAAACCTGACACTGGCTGAGGAGTCCTCCTTAACATGCCTGTAGTTTAAAGGAGACGGTCCAGAACCCCAGCTCCGTCTCTGGCTCTCTGAGTGAGCTAATATTCTGGAGCACTCGAGGAAAGAATGCTTTGGGCCTGGGTTTGGCTGTGATGAGCTGCAGAAGGAGGATTTCTTCTAGCTCTTCAAGCAGAGCTGTGTCTGAGCCTATGTACCCTGACCATATCCCAGGTGCAGGAGCAGATGCCAGTCACCATGTAGACGGTTCAGGGGAGACACAAGACCAAGATCATTTAAAGCATGGCTTTGACATCAGACAGACCTAGACTCAGGTTCTGGCTGTGCCCTTTACTAGCTGAGTAAGCTTGACTATGTTCTTCACCCTTTCTAAGCTTCAGTTTCCTCATGCATTAAAAAAAAAAAATAACTAGTTGCCGTCAGGTCAACTCATGGTGACCTCTTCCGTGTCAGAGTAGAACTGTGCTCCGTAGACTTTTCAATGGCTGACTTTTTGGAAGTAGATTGCCAGGCCTTTCTTCAGAGGTACCTCTGGGTGGACTCAAACCTCCAACCTTTTGGTTCACAGCTGAGCGTGTTAATCATTTGCACCACCGAGAGACTCCTCATGCATAAAACAAGGATAAAAAGAAAACCTTCCATAGTGTTGTGTGGAGGAACAAATGTGATGATGTATACCCTAGCACCTGGCCTAGTACATGGCAAATGCTAGGAAATGGTGCCTGGCACTCTTAAGGGAAGCATCAGCCTAAGTCCTTCTAGTAATGCTAGTAACTCACGGTGCTGAAGCTGGCACTTGTTTAGAACCATTTACTCGTCAGTTAAAAAAGTTCAGTGGAGAAGAGAATTATCTGGACAGTGGCTTCTGGTCATCTCTTCATTTGCTCCAGGGAATCACAGTTTCCCTGTATTAAATAGACTGCTATCTTCTACCAGAGCCTATGAAGATGTTTCTTTAGTAGGAAGCACGTGTGTGGAGCCCTGGATTACCCTTGGCCCCAAACCTACCTCAACCATCTGTGAAAACCGTGAAATAAGCAAAGGTTAAACAGGACTTCTCCCTTAGTGTTTAGTCGACATCCTTTCTCTTTTTGGTTTATACTCCCACAACTGGGGAGAGAAAAGGAAATCCAAGTATTAGAACCACACTTCCAATAACTTGATCAGGCTGGACAAGTCACTTAACCTCTCCGCTTCTCAGGTTTTCCAAAGCCAACTGGCACAAACGGTTTGCACTTGACTACTAACCTAAAGGTTGGTGGTTCGAACCCACCCAGCAAATGCTGTGGAAGAAAGGTCTGGTGATCTGCTTCCGACTGCAGCCATGAAAACCCTATGGAGCAGTTCTCCTCTGTAACACATGGAGTTGCCAAGAGTCAGAATTGACTCTACGGCAATGGGTTTTTTTTGTTTGTTTGTTTGTTTTTTGGCTTGGAGGAGAGATGCAAGAATACATGTAAACATGTTTCCAGCTTTTTGCTAAGAGATGTTTTCCAAATCTGGCTTTTCACCTGCCTTCGAGAATAAAGGCATATGCAATTCAGTAAATATGCATTCCAGGCTTTTGAGTAATATGCTATGTGATTAGACAGCTCTAATTACTACACCGCATTTCAATTTCAATTCGCATTCACAATGCCAACGTGCAATTGCTAACTCTGAGTTCCAAATATTCACAAACAAAATCTGTGCCTCACCTCCTCCACATGTCACAGTGCAGGGAAAGAAGTCTGTCTGTCTCCACTGATGACTGATTGGCTGGTAAAAGAAGAACTGGACCATGCTGTCTTTGGCCACAGTGTACCTGGTCTGGACAGAAACAACTGTGATAACACATTTGCATACAATGAGCTAGTGCTTTCCACACCTTTCAAAATGAGATGAATGTAATTTGCTTATATAGACAATCACACATCTATCACAGCAAACTACAATACAAGAGGATTCCAAGACTGTAAGATGTGATTATCATTTCATTTAGAATTGTCATAAATGGGGGCTGAAGAGATCATCGACAAATCTCCCTGGAGTAATTTTTCCAGGTAATTCCATGCTTATGATTGGTTCAAAGAAATGTAGGTAGCTTTTTCTTTTAACATTTTTTTTTTTTTTTGCTTCCTGATGCATTTGATTTTAATTTCCATGACAGCAGGTACTAAAACTTAATTTGGGTTTGCCTATAACATGGCATGTTAACTGGGATTCTTACATTTTTAATAACAACATCTTTAAGAAGATTCTTCTGAAAAATTTTTCTGAAAGCAAAACTGCAGAAACTCGAATGTACATCAGACACATGGTGTTTGCATATGAGCATCCCAATACCTAATCAAAGGCAAAGGGACACTGCTGAGGGGGAGCAAGCAATTATAGGCACAGATAAATTTTACTTCCAGTGGATTTTACTCAAGCAACAAGTTCCCGCCCTACTTTTTTCCTTCCCTACTGATTTAACAAATGATCGAACTGAGGAAATCCCCCAGATTGCATTACAAAGAGGAAAAGAGATCAAAAACAAAACTTAAGCTCATGGAGTACTGGGACTACCAACATATACAGAGAGACTACAAGAAGATGAAAATAGAGAGTATTGAAGAGGTACTACTTGATTATTTAACTGTTGAGAAATTCCTAAAAAAAAAACCCAAAAAACATTGTCTTCGAGTCAATTCCAACTCATAGCGACCCTATAGGTCAGAGAAGAACTGCCCCATAGGGTTTCCAAGGAGCAGTTGGTGGATTTGAACTGCCAACCTTTTGGTTAGCAGCCAAGCTCTTAACCACTGCACCACTAGGGCTCCAAGAAATGCCTAGACCTTAAGAAATACAGAAGTACTCAGTTTAAAAATGCTCATGAGTTCTAAGCAGAAAATGTTTAAAAGGATAAGGAAAATTTCCTAAACATTATCAGAAAGAAAAAAACACCTATAAAGGAGCAAGAATCAGATCAGCACATCAGATTTCTACAAGCAGTATTGAATGCAAGAAAATAAAAATCATATCTTCAAATTGATGAGAGGCAATACATTTTAGACATCAAATTCTATAACCAAATTATCAGCCAGTAATGAGGATGAAATAAGGAAATTCTCGGTCACAAAATGACTCTGAAACTTTACTACTCAGAAACCCTTACTGAAAAAAAGAAAGAAAAAAAAACTACTAATTGAATGCAGAGGAAAGCAGTGAAATGCAGGAAGTCCATAAAGCTTATTAGTAAATCTAAATAAATGTTGATTGAAAAATAATATATTGATATTTAATTATAACAGTGGTATAAAAATTCCAGACAGCATAAACATGGGAAAATATATAGAGAGAGGAAGAGGCAAGGGTTACAGTGGAGGGGGGTGAGTGAAGGGGTGGGTATAGCATACAGGTTCCGGGGGTAAGAAAGCCTGCTAAAAAGTTTTGCTTCTGGACATGGCAGAATGTCTTGTTTCTGATGAATACTACCAGTGAGAATAACTAAAAATACTGCATGAAATAGATTTTTAAAGTTTATTTGAAGGCATCAGAGAAGTACGATGCTAGTGAAGATTTGTAAGGCTAAGATCCCAAACACAAAGGAAATCCGGAAAGGTGAGCACAACATATGGTACTACCTTTCTGCTCAAGGCATTTTCCAATTTGCAAGTGGTGACTGAGAGAAGCTGAGCAGACCTGTCATCTGACTCATGGGGTTGGGGGGACAAAAATGAGTTCAAGGCCTCCCAAGGTAAGGGGCATAGATAAATACCCTAGGCTCTCAGCTGGGACCTCCGAAGGATCTATCCTAGCAATAACAGTGAACAGGAAATAGACCAGCTTTCAAAGGTAATGAAGCACAGGTTCAAATGATTTAAATCCCTGGATGGGTAAAGGTGATCAGCTCCTAACCGAGGGGACTCCAAAGCAGAACTAATCCAAAGTCTCAAATTATATCTACAATATCCAGCACAAATTTTAAAAATAACGAGGCATACAAAAAAAATAAAATTTAACAACAAAAAAGTGGAAAAAACAGACATTATAAGCAAAATTGTAGGAAATCCAGATAGCGGCATCAACTGATAGAAACTTAAATTATACCACTACCACATCCTGTAACCCTGATCTTGATTCATGTCTTGTTTCTGTGCTTGAGGGGCCTAGAAGCATCTCTTGCCATTTTTATTGTCATAAAACACTAGTTTTGCCTGGGGCTGTTTTTTAGGGAACCTGGACTAAGAAACTGTAATTAAAATGTTTCAAGAAATTAAATGACAAGATAGAGATTACACTAGAAACCAAGAAACTATAAGAAAAACAAAATGGAAATTCTAGAAATAAAAAGTACAATAATTGAAGTCAATATCTCAATGGATTAACTTAATAGTAAATTAGACCAGGAGGTCTGCAAACATTTTCTTTAAGAGCTAGATAGTAAACATTTTAGGTTTGCAGGCCACACAGTCTTCACTGTAACCATTCAACTCTGCTGGTATATTGCAAAAGCAGCTATAGATAAAATATAAACAAATGGGCATGGCTGCGTTCCAATAAAACTTTATTAACAAGAACTGGAGTTGCCTTGCTGGCTGTAGTCTGCTGACTCTTGGATTAGACACACCTGAAGGGAAGATCAGTAAAATGACAGATGAGAAGAAGAAAGCAGACATATGGTATAAAGGTAAAGGTCTTACATAGGTATAATTGTAGTCCCAGAATTAGAGAACAGAGATGATCGGGCAAAACTATATCTGAATAGGTAATAGCTGAGAATCCTTCTAAACTGATTATCAATATCAAGCCACAGATTCAAGAAGTACCATAGATCTCAAGCAGATTAAATATGAAGAAAGCCACTAATCACATCATAATTAAACTGATGGAAACCAAAATCAAAGAGAAAACACTTAAAAGCAGACAAAGAAAAAAAGACACACTACTTTCTAAGGAACAAAAATAAGATTGACACCTGACTTCTCAACAAAATAAAAGGAAGCCAGAGGACAATGGAGAGATATTTTCAAAGTGCTGAAAGAAAATGGTTTCATAATGATAAAAGGATCAAGCCATCAAAGAGATGTAATGATTCTAAATCTGAATGTACCTAACAACCTAGCCTCACTATATATAATGCAAAAATTGACAGGAATAAAAAGAAAATTAGACAAATGCACAGTTATCGTGGTAGTTTTAGCACAGCTCTCATGGTAACCAATAGAATAAGCAGATGAAAACCAGTAAGGCTACAGTTCTGAATAAAGCAATTAACAAATATGACCAAATTGACATATGTAGAACATTGTATTCAACAATTGAATAATACACATCATATTCCTAAAACATGCTATATCCATGCTATATCACAAATCAAGTCTTAACAAATTTCAAAGAACTGAAATAATATAGAGTATGTTCTTTGACCATAGTAGAATGAAGATACAGATCAATAATAGACAGATCACTGGAAAATTCCCACATGCTTAGATGTTACACTTCTAAATAATCTGTAAGTCAAAGAATATACCACTATGAAAGTTACAAAATAATTTACTGAATGATGAAGGGAATGATTTCATATAAAAATATGTAGAGTGAAATATAAGGCATGCTTTCACAGAAATATATAGACTTAAATGTGTATGTTACGAAAAAAAAGAAAGAATGAAAATCAATTATCTAAATATCCATCTCAAGAAGTTAGGAAAAAAAAAAGACGCATTTGAATCTAGAGAAAGTCAAGGAAGGAAATTGAGAGAAAAGTACATTACAAGTGGTTATAAAACCAAAAGTTGTTTCCATGACAGTCTAATAAAATTGGTAATTCTCTAAAAAAACTGTTCAAGGAAAAAACAGAGAAGGCACAACTAATTAACGTAAGGAATGAAAAAGATCCCTCAGTCCTTGAAGAGAAAATAAGAGGATACTATAAAAATATCTATGCCAATAACTTTTTAGAAGTTAATTGCAATAGACAAATTCCTTGAAACCATAATTTATCAAAATCAACACACGAAAAAATAGAAAATCTGAATAGTCCTGTATCTTTTGAAGACACTGAATAATAATAATAAAAAAAATTTCCTGGTGAATTTTCCCAAACATTTTAAGAAGAAATAACAACAACCATACACAAACTTTTGCAGAGAATGAAAGAGAGCATATTTCCCAGTTTGTTTTATAAGTCCAGTATAAAATACCAAAAATGTGGCAAAGACATTCCAAGAAAAAAGCAGAATATAAGCACAAATACAAGAAAACATAAATATACAAAAAATAAAATAATTTCAAATCAAATACAGCAATATATAAGGATACACATCATGACCATGTAGGGCTTATTCCAGGAAGCTAAGATTGGTTTAACGTTTGAAAATCAAGATAATTCACCATATTAAAAGGGAAAAATAAAAACCATATGATCACCTCAAAAGATGCAGTAAAAGCATCTGATAAAATTCCACACTAACATATGCTATTGAAGCAAACTAGAAAAAAAAAAACAGAAAATTTCCTTCATCAGATAAAAGTATCTACAAAATTTCTATAGTAAGCATTACATCTAATAGTGAATTACAGAGAACATTTTCCCTGAAATGAGAAGCACGACAAGCATACCTGCTGTCGCCACTTCTAGTCAACATTGTACCAGATGTCCTAAAGAGTACAACATAACATGGAAAACAATAAAACATGTAGTGATTGGGAAAGAAGAAACAAAACTGAGATCATCTACAGATGTCATGATTTTGTATGGACACAATCCAAAAGAATCTACAGACAAATTATTAGTATTAATACGTGAGTATAGTAAGGATATGATTTTAATATACAAAAATCAA